CATCGTGTGCGGATATTTACATATTTTCGCATCGATTTACGAACGGATTAATATCTTAAAACGCGTTGCATAAATTGTCCTCGAAAAACTGGATATATATTCACCAATCTGGAAACGGGATTGAAAAAGGATTTGCAAGTATTTATCATTCATGAAATTTAAAACGGAGAAAGAAAAAGAAGAATTGTTGTAGAAAATATGGAAAATGGTAACGAAATCTTTTGATTATTCAAATTTTAAATTTTGCGATCCAAGTATTTTGTTATCTTTCGTTCGAGTTAAATTACTTTTCTCGTGAATACGAATAGAAATGAATAACCCTTACTTTATCAGTAGCGTTGAGCTCGATTCTCGGCACGTTGGAAAGCGCGGTTATCATACTCGGATGACCGGCGCTAGCTGCATGGTGAAGTGCAGTTGCACCGGTGCAGTCAGTTGCATCTCCGTTCAACGATTCCACAGCCTCTGCAAGATATTCGACGACACGAACGTTGTTGCCTCGAGCAGCACACATTAAAAGAGTATATTGTTTCTGTAACAAACAGGTTGGATGCTTGTCTACCTAAGAACGAATATCCTCGTAATCTCAACGTGTAAATCTTATGGATGATCGTTGTCAATGAATTAAACGAAACTAGGTCATGTTTCGAAATAACGCGTGGAAAAGAAAAAATAATTTCAAACATTTTTCTCAAGAATTTTTGAGAGCTACGAAGAGTTTTTTATCGGAGATAAAAGTACGAGTCGTGCTTATCTTTATCTCGAGAAAGAATCTCGAGAAGAGAGGGGAATCGTGACTTTGTGTGATTCCGTTCGGAAGGAAGATGCATCAAATTGCATCCGTGGCAATTTAAATTATTTCTTTTAAGAATCTTCTAATTAGATTTTGAAATTGTTTCTCAGAAATATTAAAAAATTCGTTTTGAAAATTTATTTAATCAACGCGTTCAACGTTGCAGCAAAGATCGAAAACGGATTCACGGTGGCGGATATTGATTTTTTCGTTTACGAAATTTTTCAAAATGGCTGTGCATACCGACACTTGCAATCGAACGCGTGTGCAAAAGTTGGATAAAAATATGATGATGACGTGTACTATAATTAATTGCATTGGAACAGGGAAGAATTCCCTAGACGCGATACGTTTCGTCATCATTGAACGTGTTATATATTTTTGCCTGGAGACAAAGTAGCTTTACCATAGCGTGTTAATTATGAATATATAATATATACCTTGTTCACCGCTGACACATTTGCTCCAGCGTTGATTAACATTTTAACAGCGTCCCTGTGTCCATATCGCGCAGCCATGTGTAACGGACGCATGCCAAACTTAAAACACGAAAAATGGATTTTAATTAATTAAATTCGTATAAAATTTATACATACCACTCCAGGTTTTATGTTTTTTTAATAAAATTAATACGAATACTGTTCGAGAGAACAATATGCGAGGAATGCAAACGGACATCCGTGTGGAAATAAAAAAAAAAAAAA